CATTGACAACTTTGTTGAAAGATGAATAGTATTAGTTATCTGTCGGTTCTCTGACAGCATGGCGATGTTCATTAAGATGCAGGGGCCTTTGGGGCTCATGAAGAGCGCAGGCTGCCGACAGCACGTGTCGCACTCATGCACCGAAGGCGAAGCAGACCCATTGATCCAAAAATATACCGCACAGATCAGAAAACATACTGGCTTGGTAAAGGTAATGGGAAGAAAATAACAATATTCAGCAAGAGTTCTAGTGGAATGACAGCTTTTTCCAACCTAGTAACACTGCATGTGATTCTCTGATCAACAAAGACAAGAGGCTCGGCCCATAGGAACCGGTCTGCTGCCGTACCTTTGATCAAGGTCCGAAACAAGAGCTGGGCCAATGAATCATGAAGTTCATAGATTAGTACAGCACAGCAAACTTTACTTGGAGAGTTTCATAGAATACTAGAATAGGCATGCTTTATTTACTCCTTATCCAAGTACGAGTACAGGTACATTGGATTGCTTCTTTTCACATATCCCATCATGCTCTCCTTCAAGACGCACACACATATAGGTGAGAGTGAAGCCATGGGTCTGAGCTCAGGGTCAGGCCACTTATCCAGCACCTCTGAGGCTGTTCAGGGGTTAACAGTCTTGCTTGAGGGCCCAACGGACCTGGCTATTCTGCTGGGGACAGGATGTGAACCAGTGACCTTCTGATCACAGACACTCTGTACCCTCATTTATAATTTATCTCTCTGGGGAAATTGTGTTTTTGCCCATTCTGTCTTGCTCTCCATAACAGGTACAGACACATATACAGATGGGAATGGCTTTGGGGGGCACAGCGCAGGGTCAGCCATCGCCCACCACCCCTGGAGCAGTTGGGGTTTAGGGCCTAACAGCGTCATAACTCTGCTGGCCAGGGGAATCTATGGTAAAAGTATAAAATGTATATAAGAGTCTGCTGTTAGTGGCCAATCTGTGGAGGTGGGGCATGGATTCCCCTAATGCATGTCACCCCCCCGCAGCTATTGCCTATGTCAGCAACCGCCAGCATGCCCCAAATCACCAGCCCCCCCCCCCGGCACATGAGTCTGGGTAATCTCCCCTCATGAAAAGCCGACACGAAACGGGGAAATTCCTGAATGGGAATTGCACCAGACTGCTTCAGTCATTGAAACTGCACGATGAGAATTTAATTACCAAAGATCTCTTTGCATCTCACTGATGAGAGGATCAGATACTGGGTTCCCTGTCTATAGGCGCAGCATGTTCTGCTTAACTTGGGAAAGGCGATAAGAGTGACGGCGAGTACATTCATCAGCCTTTCATCATCATGCAGCAAGGAAGATAAACAGCACTGTTCGCGTGTACATTTCCTTATTTGGACAGTGTTGGCATAATTAATACAGCTGTCTGTAGCTTCTGCATTCTCAGGGCACTGAAAGAACGCTGTAAAAGTCAAGTAACAATCTTCAGATTGGTTTCGAAAAAAGAAGCACTGCTTCTACCAAATGGATAATTAGGAGAGCCAGTCCCATCAAGTGTGACTGTGTGTGTGTGTGTGTGTGTGTGTGTTGGTTTGCAGCATTTAATAGCATCTGAATGACACAGATGGCTTGACTCTTCCGCCTCCCACAGTCTCCTTTCATCAGGTTTTGCTCTGATAAAAAGTTTACATGCCATAATTAAAAGTGCTTGTTTGTCAGGAACAATCCCCGCCGCCGCATCCTCTCCCCGTGTGAGAGCCGGCACCCCCGTCTCCGAAACGGCGTGGGATCACGTGCATTAATTGCGGCGAACCTGCTTTGCCACTTCTCGCTCTCGCTGCTTTTCAGGTACCTGTTTCTTCTCCTGTGCGCTTCATCCCGAGTTAGAAGTACTTGTTAATAAAGGTTAATTTGCTTTTCCCGTTATCTTAATGATTAGCAGCTTCTGAGCAGTTTCCCTCTTTATTTATTTATCATTTTTTTTATTGCACAGTACAGTTTATTTTTAGTGTTTTATATCTCGCTTACAGAGTGATGATCCTAAAACGTTTCAACAAAACGTTCATATCTTGTCATTTTTTCATTCACAAATGTTCTAAACACTTGATTAGACAAAGATTATTTATATGTTTATGGTGGTGTGTAGCTCAGCAGGTTAAGCCGCTCTGCATGTGATCGGAATGTAGCTGGTTGAAATCTCACAGTTAGCAGTGATGTCACCACTGGGCCCTTGGGACTGTCTGACAGTGCCTCCTCAGTTGTATGTTGCTTTAGATAAAACTTAGTTCTTCCAAATCCAGTCCTTGGGGACCCGCAGCCAGTCCACATTTTTGCTCCCTCCCAGCTCCTGGTAGGAGCCAAAACATGGACTGTCTGTAGGTCCCTGAGGACTGGATTGGAAAACACTGTGCTAAATTACTGTAAGCATGCTTAGAATGATAGTCAACTCTCAGTTGGTTGTATGATTCAGTATTTTCTTTTTAAAGAATTGACTAGTAATTTTCAGAAATGAGGAAATAAATGAAGCATGATAACTAGTCTGTCCTTAGGGTACAGCTACTGGATTTTAATTTCTAATGAGCAGTATTCTAATCCATACCATGATGATTGCTACTTGACTTTCAGATGGGTATTAATTTAGTTGCACCTATGTACAAGCTGTGCTAAATCTGTTCTAATCCAAACCATATGGATTACTGTGGCCAACCTGAAGATTACAGCTAGCAAGCTCTTAATGTGATTCAGGATACTGAAAACCTCACTCGCTACCAGTGTAGGTAACTTCCCATTGGCTAGAGCATTCGTACTGTGCTGGCTGGGGAGGAGTGCCGATTGTTCCCATTGGCTAGAGCATTCATACTGTGCTGGCTGGGGAAGAGTGCCGATTGCTCCCAATGGCTAGGGGATTCGTACTGTGCCGGCTGGGGAGGAGTGCCGATTGCTCCCAATGGCTAGGGGATTCGTACTGTGCCGGCTGGGGAGGAGTGCCGATTGCTCCCAATGGCTAGGGGATTCGTACTGGGCCGGCTGGGGAGGAGTGCCGATTGCTCCCATTGTCTAGGGCATTCGTACTGTGCTGGCTGGGGAGGAGTGCCGATTGCTCCCATTGGCTAGGGCATTCGTACTGTGCTGGCTGGGGAGGAGTGCAGATTGCCCCCATTGGCTAGGGCATTCGTACTGTGCTGGCTGGGGAGGAGTGCCGATTGCTTTGCCTACGACACAATGAGCAGAAAACTGAGGTAGGTTTCATAGACTTTGTTTTTTAGGATTTTAGTGCTGGTTTAGAGTTTATTTTTAGAATTGCTTTAGGGATTGTTCAGGTAACCGACAAAGATGGTTTAAAACTGAATCATTGTTTAAAATGATAAGAAAACGTTCCATCCATCCATTTTCTGTAACCCCTGTCTATCCCGGAGGATACGGGAGTAAGACCGGGAGCAGCCCAGGGTGGGGCGCCATCCCATCCCTGGGCACACTCACACACCATTCACTCACACATGCGTACCCATGGGCAATTTGGCCACTCCAGTTAAGCTCAGCTTGTTTTTGGACTGTTTGGGGAACCCAAAGTACCTGGAGGAAACCCCATGACAACATGGGGAGAAAATGCAAACTCTGCACACATGGAGCCATGGCAGAGACTCAAACGCAGGTCCCAGGGGTGTGAGGCAACAGTGCTAATCACTGCACTGCTAAGAAAACATTCATCTGAGATATTTTACCAAATCTCCATCGTGCACAGAACGACATCACCAACCTGTCCTGTGTGGGGCATTCATTTTACTGCTGTAATTAGCACAGACAGTTACACATCTCTACTTCCCCATAACCTCCCCCCCTCCCGTAGAGATCCAGGTTCCAGCTGCTATGAGGGACGGCTATTGAAACAGGTGGCCTGATCAACATATGACAAATCTGAGGAGGAGGAGCAGAAGGCATGTGACGAGGGGAAATCATGTAACCCTCTGAACCTCACACTGCTGTGTACATTAACACATACCATTATGTACCTCACACTGCTGTGTACATTAATACATACTGTTATTGTACCCCTCACTGCTGTGTATATTAATACATACTGTTTTGTACCTCACACTGCAGTGTACATTAATACATAATTTTATTGTACCCCTCACTGCCCTGTACCACTACTCAATACTGTGTACATTAATACATATCATTATGTACCCCATACTGCTGTGTACATTAATACATATCATTATGTACCCCATACTGCTGTGTACATTAATACATATCATTATGTACCCCACACTGCTGTGTACATTAATACATACAATTATGTTCCCCACACTACTTTGTACATTAATACAAACTGTTATGTACCTCACATTACTGCGAACATTAATAAATATCGTTATGGACCCCACAATGCTGCGTACATTAATACATTTTGTTATGTACCTCACACTACTAGGTACATTAATACATACTATTATGTACCTCACATTACTGTGTACACTAATACATACAGTTATCGTACCCCTCACTGCTCTGTACCTCACACTACCGTGTACATTAATACATAACGTTATGTATCCCACACTACTGTGTACTTTAATATGTACTGTTATGTACCTCATTACATTAGATATATTGTTTACCTTACAATGCTATGTATACTGCCCCCAAAATCAAATCCCATAAATGTGTTTCTGAATTCATATTCTTCTTCAATGTGTTCAATTCCTCTCTTTTCATCTGTTTATTGTAGCAGGAAACTACACCATGTGTTCCTTATTCCATTCTATATCCCCCTGCTGTGACCGGCATTTTCACGTTTGGTTTATCTGCTTCCACAAACAGCTGTCAATTCCTCCATGTTTACAGAGCAGTGTCCAGACTCATCTTTGTCTTATCATAGCACTAAAGAGTCATGGAAAACAAAGGATTATAAAGTGGAACAAACTATCAGAAAATACAAATTTCATTTTTTAACACTGAACAGTTTTATTCACAGAAACTGAGGATATTGACACCCTCTAACATCAGAAAATTTTGATAATTCACAGACCAAGGCAAGTTTACTCTCCATCCACAGAACACAAAACTGATGTTTCTCCTGGTTTGTGTCATTATTGATCATTTTAAAGACCCTTAGTCTGTGTACAAATCACATGTAACCAATAACTGCCAAATCAGATCGATCAGAATTATTCATGGCTCTCAGCTGGAAAATCGCCCATCCCTTTAACATCAAAGCAAGGGAGGAGATCAATATCATCCTCCCTCAGTGGACTCCAGGTTAGTGATGTGTTCTAAACTGAACAGCATGTATGCTCATCAGCAAATAAACACCTGCAGTGCCTATCAGCTTCCACGGTGAGGACACGTTTTTTTGGTTTCCACAGTGATCCTGTGTTTACGCTAAATTTGATAAGCCGGTGTTTTCACCCAAATTGGCATACATTTTTGAGAAGTATGGTCAGAGAGGCCGTGGAGGAATTACGTGTTAAGGGCCTTGCTCAGGGTTCCCACAGTGAGATCATCTCATTTTCTTTGGGATTTGAACCAACAACCTTCTGATTACAAACAATGCACCCCACACACTGCCCTGATATTATACTCACCTGCTGTACTTCCCCCAGATGCATCTGCAGGTCAGTTTGGATATGAGCCTCAGTCAGAGTAATAAGTTGAAACCCTTGGAGTCCTTTGACACTCGTGCCAAAAGGCTGCAGAGGACAGTTTGGATGGGCATGGGAACCGGGGCTTATTGGTGATTAAACAAAAGGTTCAGGGGTCACGAGTTAAAGTTTCTACGTGTTACTCAACGTTGTATCATGTTGTATCACATTCTCTGTGTGCCTCGCACAACTCCAGTTTCTACTGTAACCTCTATCTCCCACATGAAAATTATATTTGCTGTTCCACTGTTTAAAAATAAATCAAAGAAGCTATTCTTGGAGGTAAACAGTCAAGCCCACCTCATAAAAACCTCCAGACTAATGTTGACGTACTCTATAATTTTCATTCATGAAGACGGTGGTGAGGATGCTGAGAGATATAAATGAAATTTATCTAGAGCTCCTAAAGATGTGCCCCCCACCTCCGAAAGCAATGTCATAGAATACTTCATTGTGATATTTCGATCTGACTCGTTTAATTTCCCCATCAGATAAGCTGCATTGCCATCTATCACCCACGTAGTCCAAGCTATAATAAATTCATTGGAATTTGTTTTGGTCCAGGAACTAATTACTAATCCGCTTTAAATAGCCCGAAGAGCCATGAGCCCTGGGCTCCGGAGGAGTGCACTGCGGAAGAGGAGAAGTGCTCGTAGCCGACCGGGGAGGAGCCAGAGCCTCACGAATAACGGTACTGCAACCCTCCCTCGCCGAGACTCTCTCTCTCTCCTTCCCTCTCCCTCCCCCTATCTCTCTCTCTCCTCCTCTCGTCCCTTCCGTCTCCCTCTCAGGTAATTTACTTCCAGACAACGGGCGACTGGCTGCCGATGCTGTCGGTGTAGTCGCTCCTCTCCTTAGGGCTGCCTCCTCTTCTCTGCGCACAGCGCCTGCGGAGCCGTCAAGACGCGCTCTTTGGAGAGCCAGCGCTGGATCACCGTCCCCGACAAGACGGGGGACGTCACAGCTCAGCTGCTCCCCCAAGCCATGGGATTCCTCTTAAAATCTTCGATCTGACACCCCATTACGCCTTTCCATTTTTCCCCCAGTCGACATCATTGTCAGTTGAATATAACTTCTCTGTGTTGATTTTCTTGCGCTCGAAACATGGAGGTGAAGATCTTGCATGATGTTAATGCCCCCAGCTGAGCAGAATGCACCGTCTGTGAGGCGTCGCTTCTCCCTCACTCTTACAGGGACCCGCGTCTCAAACGCAGAAGCGGGGATCCGGTCATCGCTCCACATCTGATCTTCATTTTGCTCCTGGTTCGAATTGGGATCGGATTAGTTCGGGCTGGATGCCGACGGAGAGACGCCGTTTACATATCCGGATGAGTTTGACGCGCACGGGGATTTTCAACAGGGTTACCGGCGATCCTCGCTGTTACATCTGAAAGCGGCTGCATTTAAGGAGAAAAAACACACACCACGGGCGAAACGGCAGCGGAGGAGACCCAGCGCTCTTTTTCGGACCCATATTCTCGGCTGCCAACCATTCACGGGATTTAAAACTAACGACCGTACGCAAGCACTGCAGTTTATACTCCGAGATTTATATAAAAAAACAGCGTCAAACTGCAGGAGACATGAAAGTTTTCCCGGTAGTGTGGTTTCTGGTCGTATCCTGGAGTCTGAGATGGAGATCCGCGCTGTCCGACTCCATCATACATATCGGTAAGTCGCATTTTTTCATCGCGCATCGCCGGTGATAGTTTTAATGGGACGCGCTTGGCTCCGGAGCGGTGCGCGTCCCCTTCCGGGCGCATTGACATCGGTACGCATCTATTCGCAAAGTACGCTTGTCTACAATGAAGACGCCTATATACATCTCTGTTTCCAATGCCGTTTAAAAATACTTTAAACACTGAAACTCTGTATGAAATGGGGGCTGCGAACTACATGGGGTTTCATTTGTATTGCAAACAACAGAATGACACGATTTATTAATTATAAGATAATTTAAGCCATAAGATACTCATCATCGTGACTCAAAATATTAACAAGGTCACATCGCAGAACAGTCCGACTTGTGGATGCCTTTTCCATTTCTGGGGGGTGACGGGGGCTCATTCCCCGCTCGCCGTGCTGGTGAAATCCCTCCGTGTCTCCTGGCTTCGTTCCGTCGTTACTTTGCCATCTGTCCGGTGGGGGCCCACGTTCCTCCGCGGTGCGCCTGTAGGGTGGAAACAGGTGGTCTCGACGCCGTGCGATTCGTTCCGATTGCCGGGGGAGGGTGCGGAGCTTCGCCCAGGGGGAGCGCCGTTGGTGAAATTCCCCCTGACGCCCCCAGTAAGTAATGGCAATAAGCGGATCCACATTACAGGGTTTTTTTTTCTTTTGCTATTGCGAATGTGAAACACGTCCGCTGTGTTTTTTTTTTTTTTTCATTTTGGGGGGGTGGATGTCTCCCAATATCCTTTTAAGTTTTTTTCCCCCCCCGAAGATCATGAGCCTCAGGGGGCGATCTTACATCGAGCCTGGACTATCCGCCGTCTATGCGCTCGGGCTGCTGCGGAGCGGCCGCGCTGAACGGGGGCGGAAGCGAGATGGGGGACAGAGTCCCAAATGGGTCAAGGCGTAAAGTACCGCGGAGGGGGGAGGTATGCGGACAAAACGGACACTTGATCCCTGTGAAAAGCCGCCCGCATTAACACGCTCAGGCCTGCACTCGGTAATACGCAGGCAATTATATTACGCGTTACAGCCCACAGACCCTAATTATGTTCTTGACTTGCCTTAATTGCTTTTTATGATTTTATGTTTTTGTTTTGCTTGATTTTACTTTGACTGTGCGCAATCAACCCGGCTCTCAGCAACAACGGGGATTTGCAATTTCAACCCGATGCTGGGCTGTGATTACATTAAGTGCGGTATATTCGTCATTAAATCAAGCCCCGCAAATGGCAACAAACTCAGGTTGTTCAACATAATGTTGTGATGTTGGTTTATTTGTCGAACGGCAAATCCCTCACATGGATTAGTATAAAACATAGTGTTCAGTGGGGATTAACCCACCTGTGCGGTGAAACATGACAGGTCTTGGCCCCTCTGTTGTGCTTTTCGAGGCTGATCGCGAAACCCCACTGAAGGCAACACTTATCACGAGGGATCGGGGATCATAAAATAAAACACGGCTTTAAACTGGCCACATAGAGAGACCGCTTTCAGACGCAACCGCACACTGCTGACTGGGACCAAAAGTGTGTGATTTAAGAAACAGGCAAGTATTATAAGAAACTCCGCGTTGCAGGCGGCGGTGTACACAACGAAGGCGGCGTGCTGGTGTAAATCAAAATTTTACTAAATGGCCTAATTCTTCATAATAATAAAAACATAAGAAGCTGTCAAATGACGTGCTATAAACGATTTCCCCCTGGGCGATTAATACCTGTTGATGGTTCGTTTTACACGGCTCTGTTTTCTTAGTATTTGGTTTAAATCAATATCCCATTTCCTCCGCCAGTCGCTTTCATTCCTTTAACACCCAGATCACTTATGTAAGGCGTTGCATTTTAAGTTTCTTTTTTCAATCCCCTCCAAGTCAGCGTTATTTTGCACTTGCTGTCGTCCACGAGCAGACACGTTTTAATACATAGCTTAAAACAATAAAACGAAGCCGTGCATATTACATAAAAAATATTTAAATAATTAAGCATGGTGTCATTATTATGGAGTCTGTATGTACCAAACCGAGCCAAGTATGACCGAAGCCTAGGTTTTTTGGGGAAGCGGGGGAGACGGGTTTACCCCCGGAGCCGCCGGATGATCAGCATGCTGGGCGGAGAGTCCGGGCGCCGTGCGCGGAATGGCGATGCCGGGCCGCTTTATGAAGCCGTCCACATAGTCATTGTGATTTATGTAGCTGGGAAGCCCCCCCAAAGAACCCGATCTCATCTAAGCCGCCGTTTTGTACACACACCAGTAGGTGCCAGGATATTTGCCACTTGCCCCATTTAGAGCTTATCTCGCCTCTTCCCTAAAAGAGATTTGCGATACTCGCTTACTGCCGGTCTTTTTTTTCTACTGGGTGTTTTTCCCCACTTCTATGCGGATGTTAATGGGTTGGGCGTTTGAGAAAACGAGGGATGCTATATACGTTTTTGGTGCTTTCATTGGAGTCACTGCCCCCCGCCCCAGCTTTAAACAAACCACAGTCCTTAGTACTGAAGTATGATTAATGCCGTATCCATTATTTGTGTGTGGTTTGACCTGAGTACCGTACCTATCCAGTGAATAAAGTATTCACTATTAGGATGGGTGCTTTTGTCGATGCACAAAGGTTCATTTGACAGAATTAGCATCTCTTTTGTGTCATCAGCACTGTCATGTTAATTGTCCAGCTGAATGTGGGATTTGCACAGTGTGTATGAATTGTCTGGTGTCCCTGGATGCTTTGAAGCCTGTTACGTAGCGTCCAGGATTACTTCCCCCCTCTTCCTCCCAGAATGGTGTATCTGAAGGTTAAAAAGAAGGTTACCTCACGGATTCGTCTCTCAGCTGGGACACATGTACCGGTCTTGTAGTTGTTGGGTAATTTCGGTGCTGTCTGAAGAGCCTCAGTGTTGGAAGCGACAGGATAACCCCTGTATCACCGTGCTGGAGGTGACGGTTTGGGCCAAGAAGAAACAGCGTGTGTGTGGAATTTAGCCTGGTATGGTGTAGACTAGACAGATTGATGGTTCTGTGTACGTGTATGTGTGTGTGTGTGTGTGTGTGTGTGTGTGTGGGGTCTCACCTGATGCTCATGTGGATTCGATCACATCGATGCTTCTGTATATGTGTGTCGTTTCCTGACCTGTGACGGCTGAAGGTAGAGACCTTGGAGTTGGAGCCGTGAGACCAGCAGGGTGTTTATCAGGAGAATAAATAAAAGTTTGAATGACAAGTGGCTTCTGTGAAGACTGCGGACATTCGGATATAAAATATCAGAGGGAACTCAGAGGGTATCATGTTTAGAGGCTCCTTTGAATGGAAAACCTGATTCATCCCTAAACCTCCATCTCCCTACTATCTCGCGGGCAGGTGTGATTTAGTTGAGACGCTCCACAAAAGGAGTGTTAGCTCCTGTGAAACATATACCGGCAGATCAGATGGGGGCGTAATTTTGGCAGAGCCCGTCTTGGACAGAAGCGCAGTCCATATGGCCCCCCCGTCATTGCTCGGAGATTATAGAAGCATCCCACAATCCCCCGTTCTCCCTCCCAGCATGCCGCCGAGTAGCGAGCCTCACCGTGCGGTCACATGTGGGATGTGCGGGTGAACACGCGTGTGAATGTCAGAGTGTTGCCCTTCCATCTTCATTTTCGCTCTGACGACGCTGCCATTCCTCCGTTGTGGAGTTTAGTGATGCTGTTTCTGCAAACAGTTTGATTTGGGGCAGGAATTAGGCATGAATGTTTTTACAGAAGTGGGCTATTTAAAAATACTGTATTGCATCCCAACTGGTCCAGGCCTCAGGGGACATTTTAGCGGGGGTGAACATTTGCTTTGACCCACAAAAAAAAAATATTCGCAAGCATGTTAGATCTCGTTCGATGGTTTGGTGCCCCATCCTAGGTATTGCCTGCCTTCTGTCAATGGCTTCAGGGATAAGCTCCACACCACCGCGACCCTGCATGGGATAAGTGGTTACAGAACATGGATGGATGGATGATGGATGGAGGTAGGACCAGAACCCAACACACTGACTCCTCTAATGATTCACGGGTAGCTGGAGAAATAGCAGGTGCCTGATATCTGTATCAGAGGCGGTTCAGTGAAATTCTGGGCTGGTAAGAGCTAAAAATTGTAAACGTGCTACATTTGCCTTCACAGATGTATAAAAGATGACATGTTTGAAAAGATATATGCCGCTTAGAGTGACAGGTATCTTCAAAGTGAGTAAATAGTATTTCTTTGGTTAAGAATGCTAGCTCGACTGAAAAAAGAGGGAAAGTCTCGGTTCCTTGCTGGTGTCTGTTTTAATCTGTGCAGCGTTTGGAGGGATCAGCCTGGAAGTGCGGCATCTGCAGCGTTCCTTCCCTTTTCCGTGGTTAGAGTGACACGCCGCCGGCAGCCTCCCGTTATCCCGTTCCCTCTGATTTGCGACTGTCACAGGAAACAGAAATGGCTCTCTACTGCAGAAAGTCTCCCGTTTGTTTTCTTCTTTCGTGACAACGGTGATTGTTTCAAGTACGCTTCGCATTCCGACCTCACTGGCTGTTTCTCGGCTGATGTTAACTGCGTGCTCGCCAGTGCAGTGGCGTGAGGTGTCGTGCCCCTTCTGCACTTGCGTGACTCGTGGCGGCCGAGTCCTCCGCCTGTGATTCCTGAATGACTCCCTTTTCTCCGAATCTTGGTCAGCTCTCAGGTCTGTAGGAAGCCTCTTCTGGGTCAGATGTACCCTGAGGTGCCTGCTAAACTAAGGAGGCATGCTATCGGAGTCGAGGGTTACAAGGATGGAGGAAGAGCACCCTGCGGTGAACAGTGCACCCTTTAGAGCGTAGGTCCAGCACGGGGAGGAGCACTCTTCTGCACACTCATGGAATTGGTGAATGATGCACTACTGTCTTGGGAAGGTACAGTAGATGAAAAGTGAGGATGGAAGTGAGAAGAATACCCGCTTCTCTGTCCTCCGTGGAATGTGAGAATGTGCATGGAATGTGAGGAGGACATGGACTCAGACGCGGAAAGGT